GACGAGGAATACAGCTGCATTGTGAGTGCCATGGGGGGAGGGGGCATGGCTGTGGTATTGGAAAGGCTCGGGGTGCACAAGTCTTCCCCTGCCTACCTGACAAAGCCCCAAGAATGGGCTGGGTCTGCCAGGGATACCAGGTGGGCCAGGCCAATCCAGGAGAGGCCTGGAGGTTTGGCCAGGCTCTTGTTTCTGGAGATTTGGGGTGATCCCCCCACCCCTGGCCCCTCCGGGCCTCGGAGTGCTGGCCAGCTTGCTGTGGGCCACTCCCAGTGCCTGCTCCCAGACCAGCTGCCCCCCAGACTTTGTGGGGCTCTTGCAGGGAAAAACTGACTTTCCTCACTCCAGAGAGGTGATTTTTTACTTCTTTTTAATTTTTTTTATAGATTTAAAAGAAATTTTTAATTTTTTTTTTTACGTATTAATTTTTGGCCGTGTTGGGTCTCCGTTGCTACGCGTGGGCTTTCTCTAGTTGCAGCGAGCGGGGCTACTCTTCATTGCTTCTCATGACAGTGGTTTCTCTTGTTGCAGAGCATGGGCTGTAGGCGCACGGGCTTCAGTAGTTGTGGCGTGTGGGCTCAGTAGTTATGGCTCGCGGGCTTAGTTGCTCCGCAGCATGTGGGATCCTCCTGGACCAGGGCTCAAACCCGTGTCCCCTGCATTGGCAGGCGATTCTTAACCACTGCACCTTCAGGGAAGCCCGTTTTTAATATTTTTGATATCAGGGTCCATCTAGGACTAAATATTCATTTATTTAATGTGGCAAGGGTTTGGTTTTTTGGTTGTTTTTTTTTTTTAAAGTTTTTTTTTTTTTTAATTAATTAATTTATTTTTGGCTACATTGGGTCTTTATTGTTGCGTGGCTTTCTCTAGTTGCATCGGGGCGGGGGGGGCTGCGGTGCACAGGCTTCTCAATGCGGTAACTTCTCTTGTTGCGGAGCATGGGCTCTAGGCACACGGGCTTCAATAGTTGTGACATGTGGGCTCAGTAGTTGTGGCTCGCGGGCTCTAGAGCACAGGCTCAGTAGTTGTGGCACACGGGCTTAGTTGCTCCGCGGCATGTGGGATCTTCCCGGACCAGGGCTTGAACCCGTGTCCCCTGTGTTGGCAGGCGGATTTTAACCACTGTGCCATCAGGGAAGTCCCTTTTTGGTTGTTTTTTTTCACAAAGCTATCACTAAGTGCTTCTAGCAGTCCTGGTGCCTCAGAAATGGGGAGCCATGGTAGCTTTGAAGAGTGCCGTGCTGTGCAGGGGTGTGAGCCCATGGGTCGGCTCTGCAGCCTCCCTGCTCCCACCCTGCTCTGCCCCAGAGAAGGCTCCCCACCCGGCCCAGGGTCCCTGATGTGCTTCCCCTGCCCCAGGCTCTAGGGGAGCCCCTGTACCGCGTGAGCACAGGCAACTATGAGTACCGCCTGATCCTGCGCTGCCGCCAGGAGGCCCGCGCTCGCTTCTCCCAGATGCGCAAGGATGTGCTGGAGAAGATGGAGCTGCTGGACCAGAAGCACGGTGAGGGGTGTGGGCTGTGGGCAGGTGCCCAGCCCGTGGGCCGCACCCTGCTTCGGGCAACCCCTACACCATCCTCTCCGCATTTCACAGCTGGGAAAACTGTGGCCCAGAGAGGTACAGTACTTACCTGAGCTCCCAGGGCCAGCACACGGCAGAGCTCTGAGTCAGACCCAAGATGGGGGCTTCCTGGAGCCTGGCCTGGGTGGGACTGGCCGTGCCCCGTGGGCTCCTTGGGGTGTAGTCCACCATCCCCCGACCCTGGCAGGGCTCCTCCACTGCCTGACTGGAAGCTGGGAGGCGGCCTGGGTTCTGTGCAGGGCTGGGCAGCCCTGGCTTTGCCCCCTCCCGGGGCACGAGGGGTCAGTGAGGTGCATGACGGGATGCCCAGGCGGGCAGGGAGGGTCTTCTCCATGCGCAGGCAGCCCCGGCCCACTGGTGCCCGTCTGCCCACCCTCCTGCCCCAGTCCAGGACATCGTGTTCCAGCTGCAACGCTTCGTGTCCACCATGTCCAAGTACTACAACGACTGCTACTCGGTGCTGCGTGACGCCGACGTCTTCCCCATCGAGGTGGACCTGGCCCACACCACGCTGGCCTATGGCCTCAGCCAGGATGAGTTCACTGACGGCGAGGACGAGGGGGAGGAAGACGAGGAGGACACGGCAGCCGGGGAGCCGTCCAGGGATGCGCGAGGGGCTGCCGGGCCCCTGGACAAGGGCGGAAGCTGGTGTGACTCCTGAGTGCCCCCTTGGGGTGCGGATCTGGGGGGTAGGGCGAGTGGGAGGACGGCAGCATGGGAGTGGGGGCGGGGCTGCCACACAACAAGGTGGCGCATAAAGGCCTGCTGTCTTGGGGCACCTGCCTCCCTGCTCCTCTGTCCCAGCACAGCGAACTCGGGTGCCCGCCCAGGGAAGGCACTGGGCCGTGGCCTGGGACCTGGACACTGGCCCCTCCACCTTCCCTCCCCACCTCCCCAGCCAGCTGGAGAGCTTGGTCTCTGGACCTGCCTTAGGAAGGAGAAAGCGGGCAGAAAGGAAAGAGGGGCTGGAGGTGGCGGGGAGTCCAGGAGCCGTTCCTTGTGGGCACCTCCACTGGCCCCCCGGAGACCTGCCGGGAGGGGGCACGGGTGGACCACCGAGCTTGGGACCAGGGTTTCATGCGCACCCTCACCTTGCCCTAGGCTGGCCCCACCCCAGTCCACACTCACCTGGCGGCCTTTATTTGTTTTATTCCCTCGCTCAGCCACTTCCCTGGGGAGGGGCTGGGCGCTGGGCCTGTACTGAATAAACACAAACCCAGATGGAGCCGGGCTCTTTGCAGTGGCCTCAGACCCTCTCTCCCTTCGACGTCCCCCTCTTCTGCCCCCTGATCACCAAGGCAGGGCAACAAGGTTTACTGACATTCCCTTTATAAGCACTGACTCCTCACTGCAGTTCTGTGGATTAGCACTACCGTCCCCATTTACAGACGGGAAACTGAGGCTCAGAAGAGGCTTGCCCAGGGCCACATGGTGTACAGGGACAGAGTGGGATCTGGACTCAGATCCATCAAATTCAGAAGACTCCACTTTTCCCCCTGCCTCCCAGGCTTTCTGCTCTGTGGAGCCTTTTACATCCTCCCTCGTCTTTGATCCTTCAGTGCTTCTGGCCGTGAACTCAACCTTTATCTGGGGAAGGGCAGGGCAGATACTGGGTCAGGAGGACCCGAGGCCCCAAACTGGGGAGAGTGTTAAGTGTGCCCCGGCCATTCCAGGTCGCCTGTTCTGCCAGGGCCAAGGGGAGAACCCCAGTGGGCGGTCCCACGCTAGTATCCCAGGTGTCCGGCTTCACCTGGACAGTCCCAGTGCACACCTGTGGTCCTAGTGTAATTATTAATAGTGGCCCTTCTCACTCTCAGAGTGTCCCTGTTTGGACAATGAAATATGTGCTCGTCCTGAGAATGGGAGGGGTGCAAGGGGGTGTGAGAGGTGGGCAGGGTCCACAATGGCCAGGGCGGGGGGGCCCGGGCAGAGACCTGAATGGGATCCTCAGGCAGGATTGGGAGTGTGGAGAGGGGGGTGGGCCGTCACCACGTAGATCCCCTAGAACTGTCAGACTATACCACCTCCCTGAAGGGGCAGCCAGTGTGGAGGCCAAGGGCAGAGACTGGAACCGACAGCCTAGGTTCCAGTCATAGCTTCTGTGACACCTCCTCACTTCCTGTGCCTCAGTTTCCCTATCTGAGTGTGGCTAGTGAGGGTACCTACCTTCTTGGGTCCTTATTGAGGATTAGATGAGTTAACATTTGTGAAGAGCTTAGCACGGTGCCTGGCACAGTCAGTGCTCTGTGAGGACTTGTTGAACAAAACAAGATGTAGTCACTGTTGTAGTGGCTCAGGGGAAAGCACAGACACAGTGTAAGTTGGCCAGGCATCTGCAGGGGCTCCCTACACCTTTCTGGGGCATGGATGGAAAATAAGACTAGTGGGGAGGGGGTCACCAGTGGAATGGGCTCCCCTGAGGAGGATGAATGGAGTCAGGGGCTGCGGTGGGAAGGCTGCTCCCTCCACTGGGCCCGGGTCACCAAGCTGGTGATTTGGAGGGAGGGAGGCAAGGAAAGGGGTGTCTAGTTTGTGGGAAGAGAATGAATACTTAAATAGATCCCTAAACCTTCCTAGCCAGGGTGAGACCTGGAGCTCCCTGCACTTGACTCAAAGTGCCATTGAGGAGCTATCCCTGGGACTCCACTGGCTGGCAGGGGAGCAGATGCCAGGGTCCGCAGTGGTGTCCGTAGGGACACTTGTCCAGAGCAGAGGTCCCAGGACACCCAAGTTTATCCCCTAGAGAGAGGAGACCCAGAGGCGGGCTGGAAGAGGGTCCCTCTTAGGAAGGTGAGGGGGCAGGGCAGGTGCCGTTCCCCCCTCCCCCTCCCCCCTGCTGTCGACAGGATGGAGTCATAGTCAGGTACTCTCCACCGCCAGTGTTCGAGAGGAGCCCGGGGCTCAGGGCCAAGATCCAGCCCCAGCCCGCCACTCGGACCTGCGCTGTTTCTCTGCTCTGGGCTGCTCCAGCGGCAGGTGCTGCCAGCGGGGGCTTCAGTGTACAGCTCCGAGCAGCAGGGCTGGAGCTGGGACACTTTCCCCTGCTGTCCTCCACCTCTGCCACTTCCTCCCCAACACCCACGGTGGGGGGCAGGTCGGAGGGCCCCAGGGGGAGCCTCTCAGACTCCCTGCTAACCCATCCCCCAGGTAGCGGCCAGAGGCGCAGGAACAGAACCTCTTTCAGCTCAGCTTTATGGACTTAAGATTCACACAGGCCCAGACCCTGCCGTGCGCAGCAGCTTCACTGGCGGGGCCAGGGCCAGTGGGCAGATGAGGGAGGCAGCTCCCTGCATGGACCCTGGCGGTGACCACCGGAGCAGCCTCCCGTGTGCCAGGCCCTGTTGGGGCAGCCGGGGCTCTGAGAGGGGAAGCCCCATTCCTGAAGTCCCTGGCCACCCCACCTAGTGCCCCCGCGCTACACAGACTCGGAGTCTAGCCCCGGCTCTGCCTCCATCTCGGGTTCCGAGGGCCCAGTCCCTGGGCTCGGCACCGCCAGGGCTTCAAGGCCACCGGGCTCCTCGGCGCTGGTAGGCAGGGGCTCAGAGTCCACTTCGGCCTCAGCATCCTCTGTGTCGCTGGCGCCACCCTTGGTGCCTGGGCTGGGCGTGGCGTCCTGAGAGCGGCGGCGCAGACAACACTTGGTGGCGACAGCCATGAAGACCCCGGCCAGGGCCACCTCAGAGCCTGCCAGGTAGAAGATGATCTCGTAGTTCTTCAGTGCGTCCACCAGGCGGCCTGCAGGGAGGGCAGATGGGGAGGTGAGGGCCTGCGGGGGAGCCCACCCTTCACACATACACCCACACCGTCAGATAAGGGCAGTGCTCTTGGTGGGACTCATGGGTAACACACACACATGCCCCAGTCTTTGTTCCCATTTTACAGATGCAAAAATCCATGAGGGTTCTGCCACTCGAGATCTAAAACTGTCACTTCACCTCCCTGGACCTCAATTTCTTAAGTGATATGGGGCCTTTGGTGAGGAAACTGTAAACTTCACAGTTTACAAGGGACCTCCTGTCCTCGGGATTCCAACCCCACATGTACCCTGGGACTTGCCCAGCTGGGGATATTTGACCTGGGAGTGGGGAGAGCACTGGGCTTAGCCCTGCTCTCCTGGGGGCCCCCAACTCTTGTTCTTTCCACTTAAGCTCCTTGGTCTTCAGGAGCCTGGCTCAGCTCTCCCCCCAACCCCCAGGCCTCCCCGCTCCCAGGAGTCCCCGTGTACCCAGGACTGAACTACCATTAGCTTGGGGGCTGGGGACAGGGCTTGTAGAACTCTTGTTTCCTTCTGTGTATTTTCCAAGTTTCCTATCACAGGCACATGTTACTTTCATACTCGGCAAAATCTTTTAATTGCAAATATTTCCCCTAAAGTGTGGTTCCTCAGTGGGCTCCCCCTTCTCTCGGAGGCATCCTTGTGGCTGTCCACACCAGGCTGTGACCCCTCAGTCTGTATCTGTGAGGCCTTGGGGAGGTTCCCTGGAGTCCCCCAAGCCAGCTGCCTGCCTGAGCCCCTCTGATCAGTACCCCAAACTTGCCTTCCTGACCGCTGCCCAGCCAGCCAGTCCCACCCCTTCCACACACAGCCCTGTGGTGTCTCTCACCTTCTACTCACCCCACGTGCCTTCTCTGCCTATTAGATCCACCCCAGGGTCACCCAAGAAAATGGAAGATGGGTCCCTGAGCCTCTGGGTGGTTTTATAGCTTTTGGTGGTTGGGTTTGGGGGCTGCTCACACAGGGGCTCAGGTTCAGTGCAATTCCCACTGCACTGAAGTGGAAATTTAAGGTCAGGTGAGGTGACAAAGCTTGACGGCACTCAGCTAGCCCAGCCCTGGAAGAATGGGCAGCTCCCCTCATCTCGGGTGCAGCCTGGGCCCTAGCAAAGGCGGCCCCCGTCATTGCTCCATCCTACAGCCTGACCTCAGCTCTCTCCTGCTCACAGGCTGTCTCTCCCCGCTCCCCACCCCCCATGGGTCCCTTCCCCTCTCTCATCCCTGGACGTTCCATCTGGGATAGGGCGGGGGCTTCCCTTGGGCTTAGGAGCACTAGGCCGCGTCACCCTCTCCTCCTGTGGCGCGCACCGGCAGAGGGCGGTCCGATGAGGACAGCCACAGCCTCGAGGAGTAGCACCAGGCCCAGCGCACTGGGGAATCGGGCCGCACCCACAGCCGCCATGAGCACCTCGAACTGCAGGGCGCCCACCATGCCGTAGGAGAGGCCGAAGGCGACGCAGAAGGCGACAAGGGCGCCGTAGGTGCGCGCGCGCGCGCTGCTCAGGTCCGTGAGCCCGTTGGCCATCAGGGCCAGGCTGAAGAGGTAGGCGACATGCGGCCGCAGGCGCGCCAGGCCGGCCAGGGCGCCGCACGCCGGCCGCGCCACGATGTCTACGAAGCCCACGATGGAGAGCAGGAAGGCAGCCTCGGAGTCAGGCACGCCCGCGTCCTTGGCGTAGTTCACCAACAGGATGGCGGGCACGAAGAGCCCGAGCGCCATCAGGAACTTGGTGACGGCGTACACCGCGAAGGCGCGGTCGGTGCACACGGTCACGTCCAGCAGGCGCCGGCGGGTCGGACCACCAGAGGGCGCCTCGCGCAAGCGCAGTCCCGCACTGTCCGCCTCCGCCTCTCCGGGAGCGTCGCCCGCGCTGTTCCTGCGCGGCCGCGGCCCGGGTGGCGGCCGCATGACGGCGCCGCACGCGCAGCAATGCAGCAGGAGGCCGCCGAGCAGCAGGAAGCCGCCGCGCCAGCCGAAGTGCTCGAGCAGCTGCTGGCCGAGCGGCGACAGCGCCGACAGGAACACGGGGCTGCCGGCCGCAGCCAGCCCGTTGGCCAGAGGCCGCCGCCGCTCGAAATACAACCCCAGCATGATGAGCGACGGCTGGAAGTTGAGGGCCAAGCCCAGGCCTGTGGGCGAGGCGGTGCTGTGACGGGCTCCCCGAGGGCGCCCCCACCCCAGGCCCCGGCAGGAGGGAGGGGCGAGGTCCCGACAGGGTGTGCAGACCCCAGGGTGGAGGGTGGGAACGGGGCCGAAGGATGAGGACCGCCCCTCGTGGGGAAACTGAGGACAGGAGGTCTTGCAGCAAGGGCTGCTGACCCCCACCTGCACCCCGACCCCCACGGGGAGGAAAGCAGTGGGCGCCCTCACCTGTGAGCACCCCAGCTGTCAGGTATAGCTCCAGGAGGCGCGTGGCGAAGGACGCTAGGACCATGCCGGCCGAGGCCAACAGTCCACCCACCAGCATCACCGGGCGACAGCCAAAGCGGGTCACGAGGATGCTGGACACCGGGCCTGTGGGCAGGGCGGGATCACCAATCAGGCTGGACGCCTCTGTGGCAGACACTCCAGGCTTTGTGCCTCCCAGCCTTGAAAGAGGGCTTGAAGGAATGAGGTCACCCCCGGTTCAGAGAGGGCAGTGTTGTGGCCAAGGTCACTAGCTTGGCTGGGACAGACCAAAGAGAGCCATATGGGGGGATGCAGGGGAGGAGGAGCCTCTATACTGGTCCCCAGCCCTCCTGAGAACACGGAACATAAAGCAGAAGGGGCGGACCCCTTTCTCTTTATTACCTTCACAGCTGGAATCACAGCTTGAGCTGCCTTCCTCCCCAGGCTTCCCCCATCCCTCACCTCCACCCCTCCACGCTGCCTGGCCAGGATAACTCCAGCATCTCCCCGACCCCACAGGTGGTTAGAGCTTTGGGACTGGGAATCTTAATTAGATCTTAGTTGTCCCACCTGTAACATAGGCGGGTGTGGATCTTTTGACAGAAATGGAGGGGCCCTTCCAGCTGGCCAAGCTTGACAGGTCAGCCACCTGGGTGCGGGCTCCATCTCTGGCCGCTGCCACCCTCCTGCCCTCTGTTCCCCTCTCTGGTGCTAATGTTTCCACAAGAAGGAAGGGGTTTCCATGCCCGCCCCGAGGGGCCTGGGGGAAGATGCTCAAGGGGTCGGGTGTCTCCTGGTCCCTGATCCCGATTCTCAGTCCTGGGCCTGGGGGAAGGGGGAGGGATCCGCGAGGGGGCGCTGACCTGTCCCGTAGAGCATGGCGAGCATGATGGAGGATACCCAGGCCGTGTCGCTGTAGCCCGCCCCGAAGTCGCGCATAAGCGCGCGGAAGAAGACGCTCACCGCCTTGGGGAAGCCATAGGCGAAACCGGTGACCACGAAGCAGGCGCCCAGCACGGCCCAGCCCCAGCCGCCGTCTGGGGGGCCAGGGCCCCGCCGGGGGCCTCTAGTGCCCATCGTCACCGCCTCTGCTGGAGGAGAGGGGACAAGAGGGAGCGGCGAGGGTCTGTAGCCCAGACAAGAAAGGGGGATGGAGACCCCGGTGTGGGGAAACTGAGGCACAGGGCTACCCACAGGAGCCCTGCTCAGGGAATGGAGCCAGGAGGGGAAACCGAGGTAGGACCTCACCCCGAATCTCCCCTCCTCCAAGGGGTGTGAAGGATGAGGGGTGGGTAATAGAGTCGTTCCCACCTGAGTCTTAACTTCAGGAAGACTCCCTCTGGAGGATACTCCTTGCCCCTCAGGACCTAGTAGTGTCAGGAGAGGAGGTTCGGATGAGTGGGAAAGCCGACAACCAGTGTGTGACTGGAGGCATGTGTGGGGACCGGCAATGTCCCCAGGGTGTACATGTGAGGGTCTCAGGGCAACGGAACAAACAAGGTGTGGGGTGGAGGGGGAGACAAGTGCCAGCTGCAAAATGGGTGGAGTTCATTTTCCTCCTTGTACCTAATTTTTTTCAGTGATCAGGAATGTCTATTGTCATTTAGAAAATTATGAAAAAAACCCCAAAACATGTAACAATATTAGCCTTGTCTCAGAAGCAAAGGGAGCTGAGTTCCAATTCATCCCAGCTTAGCCATGGATTTGCTCCGTGACTTGGGCAGCTCCCCTCCCCTTGCTGAGCCTCAGTTTTCCCACCTGTAAGGTGGGTGACTGAACACCCTAGACCAGCTGGGGATCTTGGTGTGGGGAGGGTCAGATCTCTGGCTCCACTGGACAGATGCAGACCTTTGAGGGGGCACTGGGAGAGAGACCCTCTGCCCTCCAAACCCTTAGCAGCCCCCAACCCCTCCACATCTCCAGAGCTCCACCCAGGGGTTCACACAGCACCCCCATTGCCCCCATAACAGACCAGGAAGGGGGCCTCACAGGCAAGATGGACCAGCCCACAGCTGGAGCCTCCCTCCCTCCTGCAACCCCTCTGCGCTGGGGTCTCCCGCCTGGCCTTGGGCAATGCCAAGGGCCCCATGGGACTCTGCCCCTGCCCCACCAGGACCAAGTTCTGGCTTGGTCACCACAGCTGCAGCCACCTGAGGACCAGGACAAGAGGTGATCCCTGACAGCCGTCGCTGCACACTTACCTGAGCCGTCCCGTGGGTTTGGGTGTCCAGCCTTGCATCTCCTGAGGCCTGCAGGGAGGGGCCGCCCCACTGGCTCCCCTGTGAAAGCCTAGCCCGATGGGGGCTGCAGCTGAAGACTCCCAGGCTTCCTGCAGATCAGCCACTCAACAGTTCGCTCCCCCAAGCCTGGGGCTTAGTGTTCCCCACCGCTTTCCCCTCTAAGAGGCTTTCCGCTGGGAGGGGAGAAGGGCCAGGCAGCCACCGCAGCACAGGGCCAGGCTGGGCCGCGTGGTGGGGCTCCCCGTCCCAGGCCCATCCAGGGAGAGATAGAGATGGGGGGGCCCCTTCACCTCCTGGAGCTTCCTGCAGAGAACACAGAGAGCCCTGCCCTGGGGGGTCCGAGTGGTATAAAGGGCACAGCCCTGCCCTGGAGAGACCCCACCAGCCCTAATCACCTCAAGTCCTCGCCTGCCCTCCGCCCCCAGGCCACATTCCAGGAGGGGCCTCCATGGCTTTCCCCTGGATAAGGCTAATCCAAGCCAGAGCCTGGGACTGAGGGGGTGGGGATGGGCCAGAACAAAGGGTGCTGTGTCCCAGGGCACCAAAGGGTGACTTGCTGATGGTCCCAGGCCTCAGCCACTGCCATCCCTCCGGCTCTAGGGAACCCACAGCAGAAATGAGCCTGGGCCAGAGATGGGGGGATACAGCTTGCGGGAGTTACGCCAGACCTAAAGACTTAACTTAAAATGAGGGATGTGAGGGGCTGGGAGTGAGTGAGGCCTCCCAGGGAACTGCCAGTGACATTTAGGACCTTCTGGACTCCCTTCTCCAGTGGGAGGTCTCCATCCCCACCCTGTCCCACCCTGTCCCCCGAGTCAGACTCCACCAGTCCCGCTGCCGTGTCTCACTTGCTTTATTTCTCACCGTTTACAAAAGTTAAACAGGGGAGGTGTGTGGGGCAGGGGAGGGGGTGTGTGAGGGGCTCCTCCCCACTGGGACAGAGAAGGGGGAAAGAGGTTGGGGGGCATGAGGCAGGCCCCCAGGGAGAGTCCGGGGCCCCTGGAGGGGAAGAAATGGTTCTGTCCCCCACTCCGGCTGCTTTATTTTGAAGTCCCCAGACCCCACGCCAGTGCCTTTGGAACTGCTCAGGCTGGGGCGTGATCTGGGGAAGGGCAGCTGCCCCCGGTACCAGGGCCCCGGCTCCTTGGATCCACTGCTGCTGCTTCTGCTGCCGCCAGCTCTGGGCAGCCCCCAGGCAGGTGTCGGCGGGACGACCTCAGACCCCTGGTGGAGGAAGGCACCTCAGTGGATGAGGGGCGCTGAGCGGTCATTGGTGACGGTGGGACGCAGCTTTACGGTGGCAAAGGGGTTTGTGCCCCTGTTGGGGGAGAGGAGGGGGTGAGAGGGGCCCAGGTCCCCAGCTGGCTGTGGATCCAGGGAAGGCAGCTGGGCATCTGAGCCAGGTGTCCCCCCTACCTCCTGTCCCCGTCGGTTCACCTCCACTCACGCCCACCTTTGTCTCCCCTCCACAGCCCTCTGCTGAGCCCGGCCCCCTCTGACCCTCACTCAAGGACTCACCGAGGGAAGAGCTCTGGGGGTTGCTGCTCCCAGCACATGAGTTTCTGCAGTGAGCGAGGAGGGAGGGCCAGGTTTGCAGGGGAAGGAGCAAGCGAGCCCCTGCCACCCCCACTCCCCAATCCAGCAGGGCAGAGGACTGGACCAGAGGCCCCTGCAGCGCCAGGCTTCTGGGAAATGAGGTCCAGCCTTCCGAAACCCAAAATGCTGTGGGTTTCAGACTTGAGGAGCCTCTGGGCCAAAGTGCCATCTCCCAGGGCTAACACCGCCCCCAGGGGAGGCCTTTTCCAGTGCTCCCAGCAGGAGCCCAGGGCTCCCATCCACTAGAGGAATGCATTCCCCCCACCCTCCACCCCAGGCCCAGAAGCCCATCCCACCCCTCCCGGCACAGATGGGCAGACTGAGGCTGGAGAGAGAGGATCCCCTGCCAGACAGCCAATGGCAGGGCAGGGAGGGTTACCTGGTCTCCAGTCTTCCTGCCCACCAGACCACCCCAGGGTTGAGGGCAGACTGGGGGAGGGGCTCACCTTGATGTCACTGGCCACCCCCACGCTGCCCATGCTACTCCGACGGCTGCCAGGCAAGGGTGTAGGTGCGGGGCTGGGGGTGCGGCTCGGGACCCGGCTCGGGGTTCGGGAGCGGGACTGGCCATCCCAGTAGTCTGAGCATGCTGTGGAGTTGCCTGGCCGGTCCAGGAGGTCATCAAGGCTGTGGCTGCCCCGGAGTGGGTAGGACCTGAGCCCAGAGAAAGGAGGGACGGGAAGGGGGTCAGGGGTCAGGCCCTGCTGCAACCCCCACCCCCCACCCCATCTGCTGGGCTCCTGAGCATCCTACATCCTCCTCCCTTGCCCCTGGGTGAAAGGAGACTGTTGGCTTGAAGGCAGTCCTGAGAGGAGGCAGAGGGATGGACACATGACCTTCACATGTAGAGAGATGGGGGTGCCCTTTCTCCAAGAGCTGAAGGAGGTTGGGCTAACTCCGGACTGCAGCTCAGAGATGCCCTTCCTGGTGGCTGGTGCCATCACCCACTGGAGTCCCTGCCCCTGCCCCATCTCTGACCACAGCGGTACCTGGAAGGCAGCTCATTCATAGGGCTCATGGGGTTCATGGACGTCACTGGGTTCAAGGGGTTCGTGGGATTCATGGAGGTCACGGGGTTCAAGGCGTTCATGGGATTCATGGGCAGCTCCTCCAGAGGCTTCACATAGGCCTCGGGGAACCAGCCGCTCCTGTTGGGTGGAAGCAAAAGGCCCAACAATGGTGGTCAAAATACCATTTCTAAGAGGAGCAGATGATTACTGGGCACTGCTGTGTGCCAGGCCTGGCTCTAAGAGTAACCCATTTCATCCTCTGAAGGAGGTCTTTCCCGACATTCAAAGCTACTCATCCAGCCTCATGTCCCACCAGGGGCTGGGGCGCCTTAGAGAGGAGGAACTGGAGATCTGAGAAGGAAAGCATTGTATCCAAGGACATGTGGTGACCAGCTTCATTCCCTACTTGCTGAGTACCCACCACACGAGGGCCCACGGAGAGCCAGATGCAGTCCCTGTTCCCCAGGGGCTCCCAGCCAGCCTGGGGGGGAGACAGACCCACAAACAGATGATTACAAGGCTGAGGCAAAGGGGACCGGTGTGGGGGACCAAAGGCAGCTGTAGGAGCCCAGAGAATGGGGAACCAGAGCCGGGGGTGCCTGGCTACCAACCCTCCACCACAGGCCCTCTGGTCCCGGTGACCCCAGCCACCCTGCTCTTGGGAGTCTTTGTCTGGCTGGAGGCTCATTACTGCATCTTCAGAGCAGCCAGGGTTGAGGGAGAGGCACTATGATCGATGTTCCTTAGCCTTTTCGGCCTCCACGGAACCCATCAGATTCTTGCAGAACATCTGGGAAAGTGTTCTCCAAACAGCCACCTTAGATCCCCAAACCCGATCAATAACATTCTCACCTATAGGTAACTGGAAGCTATTTCAAGTCAAACTGACAGAGTAAAACCATTTCAGAACGTTTTACTTGTGTCTTCACCATAAAGTGCCTACTGATGAAACTTGCTATTGTTTTCCCTAACCTGAGTCACAGAAAGAATAATGATGTCCCAGGAACGCGGTTTGAGAGCTCAGATCTAGGTGGTTTTATAATCAGGTCCCCAGGAGGTTTGCTACACACCTGTTTTGGGGACTTTCAGGGAGGCACCCTGCTGCCCTCTGACGCGGGTCTGCAAAGCAGGTGTTTTTTTCACTACTCGTGTTCTTAGTCGCGTCTCTACCCACCGGCTCCTCTTTCCATTCCCCATCCATGCGGTCACCTGCCATCCACCCATCTATCTACATGTCATCCCATCCATGCATCACCCATCCATGATCCATGTGGGCAACCACCCAAGGACCACCAATCCACTAACCCATCCATCAGCACTTGCCCACCTGCCCGCCTCTCTATCAACCCACTCCCACACCTCTCCAATCACCCATTAATCGATACATGCACCCCACATCCGTGCATCCTCCCACGCCCCCTTCCATCTACCCATCTGCTCATAGGAGCATGCGTCCATCTGCTCACCCCATTACGCCCTCATCCATCCTCCACCTGTCCATCTACTAATCACATGACCATCCCAGCAAGCGCCCTCATGTGCACTTGCTGACTCCCCTGTCGACGCTCCATTCATTCATCCCCTCTTCTTGTCCTCATTCATTCCTCTCTCCTTAGCATGAGTGGGCGTGGGCACCAGACAGTCTCTTGCCCATAAAGCCCTGTGGTGGGCATTGCCCGGCTCCAGCAAGCTCCCACCTTCCCCTTTTTCTCTGGCAGAAAGAGTGATCCCTGCTTTCCTCCAGGCTTACCGCGACCACGGTGTACTCCTTAGCCTCCCCCTTCTACTCATGGTGTCAAAAGCAGCCCGAGTTTATGTTCTTTAAGGAAATCTTTAAGGATTTCCACTGACTGCAAGGAAGTGAGCACACTCAGCTTGCAAGGTCCCAGCACCGCCCCTGCGCCTGGTCCCCCTCCCTGTCCATTCCCTCCGTCAGAGCTTGGCGGACTCCCTCAGGGTAGAAGGCAAGCTGCCCCCTCTCTTAGTGTAAAGCGCACTGCAGGTGCTCAAGCAATGGGGTTTCTGTATTGTTCCCACTTGTGAGAGAACCTTCCCATTCCCCATCCTTTACTGCCCTCTCAAGGGCCCCCAACCCTGAACTTGATAAAGAGACTCTTCCTACCCTCGTTGAATGGATGAGGAAACTGGTGTGGGACGAGGAGGGGATGGGGGGATGGGGGATGGGGGATGGGTTGTTCGAAGGCCCAGGGACAGCCTCCATCCTGGAAGACTCAGTTGCAGCTGGAGCCCAGGCTTTCCGGTCCTCCTTCCAGCCCACCCTGCGCCCCGAGGCTCCTACTCACGTGGATGAGCCCTCCAGCTTGCCATAGAGCCAGCCGTTCTGGGCCTCCGGTACCAGCACCTCCACAACGTCTCCGGCCGAGAAACGCAGCAGCGTGTGGTTGGCGCCCTCCGAGTGGGAGACCAGGGCGCGAACTCGCCGGGCGCCGCCGCCGCCGCCCCTGCAGCCCGGGCGCTCGCCGAAAGAGTTGGAGCGCGAGCGCTCGGTGCTGCTGCTGTAGAGCGAGGCTGCCGAGGGGCAGGAGAGCGCCGCGGCACGTGGGTGGGAAGTTCTCCCTGGCGTCTACCCTCGGTCCCTCCTGCTGCAGCGCAATCTCGGTTCCTCTTCCCGGCCCTGGGTCCCCAACCTGGGTACCTGGCCCTCCCTCTGCGCTTCGGGGGCCGGGGGTACTCACAGGCGGACGGCGTCCGGGGCAGGGACCGGCGGTCTGGCTCCAGCTGGGACGCGTATCTCGCCTCAGTGGGCTCGGGGCCGTGGGAGCCGGAGCCGTGCCGGCTGCGTGGGGAGCCGAACTCTCCCAGAGGCCTCTGGGGCTGCGAGGGGAGACGGGCAGGGGAGGGTGGGGCGGGGAGGGGCGGGGCCGCGGCGCCCTAGTCCAGCCCCCACCCCCAGTCCCAGGCGTCGGCGGCGTAGGGGTTCTCTGGCCTGCGGCCGAGCAACCACGGGGGCGCCGAGGTCGCGCCGGGGCGGAAGGGCCGGCCGAGGGGCGCTTCGTAGGACGGGACCCTCGGGGGGAGGAGGCTCCAGGCGGAGGGCCTCAGGCCCCAGGGCCCCGCTGAGGGTGCCGGGGGCGGCGGGGGCGCGAACGGCGGCGGGGGCGCGAACGGCGGCGGCGGGGGCGCCCAGGGCCTCACCATGTCCAGGCGGGTGGGCGTCAGGCGGCCCGAGGGGTAGGGCGGCCCCAGCACGGGGCCCAGCAGGCCCGGGGAGTGGGCGCGCGACGGACTGCGGCTGGCCTCTGACTGCTCCTTCCACAGCAGCACGCGGTTCTGGAGCATCCCCCGGGCCTGGCCGGGTGGGGACACGGGGGTCAGCGAGATCCAAGCAGACCCCAGAATCCCGGGGACTCAAAACTGGCATCCTAGACCCGGGAACTCGGGCCCTGCAAGCTGAGGATGACCGGACTTTCCAGCTGGAAGGAACCAAAGATCGCTGTGGTCACTTTGGGTTCACCCACTGGCCAGCCCTCCTGGTCTTTTGTCAAAGGCCCCTCACTTTTCCTGGAGGAGTTTCCCCTGACCCGTGTCTCAGTCTTGTGCTTTGATGGGGCCTCTCCCACTGTCTGATGCAGGGGTAGGGGTGCAGTCCAGGCTTGGCTACAGAGATGGAGTCAGGTATGTGCACCTACCCAAAAACTGTTACCAAAGAACCCAGTCCCAGAACTTACCCTGGAATAATCTGGAAAAATATATTCTCTCACCTCACGGGGTTTGCTAAATGGATAGAGCGAAGCTGGCATAGGATACTTCAACTAAGCAACAGACAGTGGCAAATTTCTGATGACAACTTGTGTGCTCCTGGATCCAACTGTACCTGAAACCCTTGAACTTCCCAGTGACTAAAATAATAAACACTTTTTCTGTTTAAGCCAGTTTGAGTAGTTTTCTAAAAGAAGACTTCCAAATAGTTTTTCCAGTCTATCCCTTTAGTCTACGTAAGAATCCCTTTTCTAGTATCCCCAATACATGGGCATCTAACTCTGCCTGAATACCTTCAAGGACAGGAAACTCAGCCACTGACCACATAGTCCATAACAACTTAGGGTGGGAAGGTTTTAAATGTTAGACTTGCTGTGTGTATTAATCATGTTTTTAATTTTCTGTACTTTATGGTGCTTTGACATCATGGGGCCTTGTTAATCTGAAAAGACTGTGCCTCACAGGGCTAGATAATTCCTAGAGATAGTAAACAGTTTGCTTGGAGCACACCTTTCATATGCAAACCAACCAACCCAAAACACATATCCCCAATCACCTCCTTCTAATTCACACACCAAACCAAAGTTCCCCCTGCCCTAAATCACCCAAGCCAGGTACCAGACAATTAGAATAACCCCTATAGCCCAGAGCCCACTGAAGTTATTCAAACCATCCAATCCTAAACTTACTTAAACTTGCTTACCCTTCTTTGCCCATCCCTTCCCATGGAAACCATAACGAAGGTTCTGGGCCATATGCTTTTCCCTGGCTCCTTCTGCCTCTTGACCAAGCCCCAGTACTACTCCCATGTGGCCCTGTGTAGTGTGTCATGACCCTTTCTCTTGGGAAGTGTGATATGTAATAAAACTTCTTTCAGTGGCATTGACCTCTCTGTGTTGTCACTCAGGTCATCCTAGGTACAATCAAAACACTCCGCTCTCCAGTTATCAGTGTCTCTCCATTTTCTACTCCAGTACTCGCTCCCTCAAGGCCAAGTTCAGGATTGTGACCTTAGGAATAATAAAAGCTTCCCTTTGCTGAGCATTTACTCTGTGCCAGGTCCAGTGTTAAAGACTTTACCTCCATTATCCTATTCGATTCTCCCAGTAGCCCTGCGAGGTAGGTGCCATTATTATCTCCATTTCATAGAAGAAGATGCTGAGGGTCAGAGCAGTTAATGACTGGCTCGAGGTCTCTCATCCAGTAAGCAGTGGAGTGGCCTGTACTCGTCTGTCTTGAGGAAGCTTCCTGTGACTACATTTCCATGATTTTTCCCTTCAGTCTGGCCCAGCTGCTGAAAATTTGATCTCAGGCAGCAAAACAGAAAGGCTCAGTGCCTCAAGTCACAAGAGCAACTAGTTCAGTTGGTGGCTAGGTGGCCGCCCCCTCTGTTGCCTTGCATAGTTAATTAGCAAAACAGCATAAAGACAAAACTCCAAAGGCCTTCGTGCGCTTGTTTCAGAGGCAGTAAGCAAAGTGAGACCATTAAGTTTTGCTTATCGTATTTAAAAAAGGGTTTTTGTCCAATTTGAAAGTGCCTGCCAGGGTGCTAGGGGGTTCCCGGAGTAATGGCCTCAGCACTGAGTCCTGGCCTAGATGGCACTCAACTTCACTGGCTCCCCTCAGCCCTGCCTTAAGGCAGTTTAGCCAGTGTTTGGGAAGAAACACAGAGGAGACCAGGGGAGAATGCTAAGAATATTTACAGAGTGGAAAAGCCATTCTGGGACTTCCCTGGTGGCACAGTGGTTAAAAACCCGCCTACCAATGCAGGGGACACGGGTTTGATCCCTGGTCCGGGTAGATCCCACGTGCCGTGGAGCAACTAAGCCTGTGCACCACAACTACTGAGCCTGCGCTCTAGAGCCCGTGAGCCACAACTACTGAGCCTGCGTGCCGCAACTACTGAAGCCTGTGCGCCTAGAGCCCCTGCTCCGCAACAAGAGAAACCACCGCAATGAGAAGCCCGCGCACCGCAACGAAGAGTAGCCCCCCCTCGCCGCAACTAGAGAAAGCCTGCATGCAGCAATGAAGACCCAACGCAGCCAAAAATAAAATTAAAATTAAAAAATTAAATTAATCATGTAAGAAAAATATTAAAAAAAGAAAAGCCATTCTAAGTATGATACAAACCCCCTAAACTATAAAGGACTGATAAATTTGACTAAATAAAAATTTTTTTTACCATGGCAAAACTCACAATAAGCAAAATCAAATGATAAAGGACACACTGGGAAAATAATTTGCAACTCATCACTATGAAAGAGCTTATTTCAATAACATATAAAGAGCTCCTACAAATTCATAAGAAAAATGGAGGAAAAGATACCGACCTGTCACAGTAAAGAAAATCAAATGGCTCTGAAACACGAAAAGATGTCAATCTCACTTATAAGACAAGCGTAACAAGTGTAAAACTACACTGAGATACCATTTTTATTTTTTTGACGACCAAAAATCAAAAAGGTGGCCCGCACACTGTTGTCAAGGAAACAGGGAATCTCCGCCATTGCTGGTGGAAGTGTAAATTGGTACAGCCAATGCTTATATCCCTGGACTCACCAATCCCATTTCTAGGCATTTATCCTAGAGATATACTTACACAACTGCGATAAACCCAGAGAAGCTGACGGTGAGGTAGAAAGGCTTGACTAGACTTGGACTAAGCAAAGACCGATTATCGGAGACAGATGAGAAAGACACCTTACTGTGCTCAGGCACTTAAGAGTTCTTTAAATCTTGTGCATTCTGCGTACAGATATACTTAACAGGTAAATATTTATGCTTCACTGTCTTAGGAGTTAGATCGTGTATGTCCTAAAGCCCAGCTGGGTCAGACAACATGCTACCTATTCCCCTGTACCTAGGGGAAGTCTGGTTCATTCAATCCACAGCTCCCTCCAGAGGGGGCGATCACTCAGCAGGAGGCAGCCACTGGAGGAGTCAGCTCTCCTCTTAATGTTGGAGGTTAACTGTTCAAGACACAGGCGGAAAGGAGTTTCCTTCCAAAGAAGATGTACACACGGCCAGTGAGTACAGGAAAAGATACTCAGCATCATTAGCCATCAGGGAAATGCAAAGCAAAACCATAATGAGATACCACTCCACACTCACTAGGATGGCTAGAATCAAAAAGACAGACAGGGCTTCCCTGGTGGCGCAGTGCTTGAGAGTCCGCCTGCTGATGCAGGAGACGCGGGTTCGTGCCCCGTTTCGGGAAGATCCCACATGCCGCGGAGCGGCTGGGCCCGTGAGCCATGGCCACTGAGCCTGCGCGTCCGGAGCCTGTGCTCCGCAAATGGGAGAGGCCACAACAGTGAGAGGCCCGCATAATGCAAGGAAAAAAAAAAAAAAAGACAGACAGTCACAAGTATTGGCAAGGATGTGGAGAAATTGGAAACCTCATAAACTGGTAGTGGGAATGTAAAATGGGGAAAGAGTGTGGAAGTTCCTCAAACAGTTAAACATAGAGTTACCATACAATCCAGCAATTCCACTCCTATACACCCATGAGAAATGAAAACACACGTCCACGGAAAAACTTTTACGTGAATACCCATAGCAGCACCATTCATAATAGCCAAACAGTAGAAACAAGCCAGATGTTCATCAATTGATGAATGGGTAAGTAAATGTGGCATATCCCAATGATGGAATCCTATTTGGAAATAAAAAGGAATGGTGTATGGATACATGCTCCAACACTGATGAACTTGAAAAACACGACGTTCAGTGAAAGAAACCAGTCACAAAGGACCACATATTGTATGCTTCCTTTCATATGAAATTGCCAGAAGAGGCAAATCTATAGAGACAGAAAGTAGATCAGTGGTGGCTTAGAGCAAGGGGGAATGGGAGGATCAAGGAATGACCGCTAAGGAGTACTGATTTTCTTTTTTTTAGCAGTAATGAAATGTTCTAAACTTGACTTGAGGCAATGGATGCACAACTCTGTAAATATACTGCACCACTTTAAAAAAAATATTTATTTATTTTGGCTGTGCCGGGTCTTACTTGCAGCATGTGGGATCTTTTAGTTGCAGCATGTGGGATCTTTTAGTTGCAGCATGTGGAATCTAGTTCCCCGACCAGGAATTGAACACGGGCCCCCGCATTGGGAGAATGGAGTCTTACCCATTGGACCACCACGGAAGATCCTATACTACACCGTTGAATTGCACACTTTAAATGGGTGAATTTCATGGTGTGTGAATTATATCTCAATATAACTGTTTAAAGGAAGAAGAAACAGCCCCTCCCTGAAGGATCACTCAGTGGGGGTGGGGTAGGGTGAGAGAAGGCCGAGCCCTGAGCCCGGGGCTGGGTGCGGTGGTGAGAGTGGGAGAATGTCGGCCGGGGCTGGGATCAGTCACCTCTGCTCAGCACCAGAGGGTCCCTGGGATCAGAAACAGAGACTCAGGGAGGACCTGGCAAGGTAAGGACCCCGAGGTGGGGAGGCGGGAGTCGGCTGCTGGCTGTTGGGGGCGGCCGACTGCAAGCACTCGGGTCTCCTGAATGGGAGCCTTTGTTTTCATCTTTGGAGGGGAGAGAGCAGGGGCAGGAGGACCTAATCCCACTGGGCTCCTGCATATGCCAGGCTCCACCATCGCACCAACCTTCTGCAGGGGCGATTATTTCCCTCCTTTTCCAGATAAGAAAATGAGACTCAGAAATGAAATCACTTGCCAGAATTTGCAGCCAGGGCACAGTATTTGGGAAACTGAACAAGAGTACAAAGAACTGGATATAGAAACTAAACAAGACTCTACAAAGAAATAGAAAGTAATGGAAAGAGCAGTGAGGCTGGGGGAGGGGCAGAGGAGCCCATGTTTGTGGCATCAGGAAAGAGAGACTGGCTGGCTGACTGGGTCTCTCTCAGATACCAAATAGAACCAGAGCCTGATATGTCATCTGGGCTCAAAGACTATGTGTTCAATAAATGAATGAATGAACAAACGACATTGGAAAAATGTAAGGATTTTTAGGGAATGATGGAAGGATGGTTTCCCAACAGCCCTGGCCCCTCCCCTCCTGCAGATGCCATCATCCCCCTCCCCAGAGGGGTCAACAGCTGGGCCAGGCCAAGGAGGTGGGCAAGTCCATATGCAAGAAGGGTGACTGGGAGGCTTTGGCCCCTGTTGGACTTTCACAGAAGATAGGACAGAACTTTGACCACCAGTGGGCTGGCCAGGGCCTGAGGATCTGCAAGTGAGAGGCCAGGCAACAGGGCTCAGGGGCCTGAGCAGTGCAGTCACAGAGACACTTGGGTAGGGCAACATCAAGTGTCCCTCCTGAGTGTGCTCTGAGAGCGGCTGCTGGCTTTCCTGAGTTCCAGGCATCCATAGGCTTGGGCAGCTGCTAGCCCATAAGGTATTTCTTTGCAATTTAGAAACAGATGTTCTGTCTGGATGGACAGAGCCTGGTGGGTACACATTTGGTGAGAAAATGGCCTCTTTTTTTTTTTAATTTTCTTGATACTTTTTTTTTTTTTTTTTTTGCGGTACGTGGGCCTGTCACTGTTGTGGCCTCTCCCGTTGTGGAGCACAGGCTCCGGATGCACAGGCTCAGCAGCCATGGCTCACGGGCCCAGCTGCTCCACGGCATGTGGGATCTTCCCGGACCGGGGCACGAACCCGTGTCCCCTGCATCGGCAGGCGGACTCTCAACCGCTGCGCCACCAGGGAAGCCCTTCTTATAAATTTTTAAAAATTGAAGTGTAGTTAATTTACAATGTTGTATTAGCAAAGTGATTCACACACACACACACACACACACACACACACACACACACACACATACATTCTTTTTCAGATTCTTTTCCATTATAGCTTATTACAAGATATTGAGTATAGTTCCCTGTGATATACATTAGGTCCTTGTTGTTTACCTTTTTTATATATAGCAGTGTGCAAATGTTAATCCCAAACTCCTAAGTTAACTCTCCCCCCCCACCCTCTGCTATCGCCTTTGGTAACCATAAGTTTGTTTCTATGTCTGTGAGTCTATTTCTGTTTTGTAAATAAGTTCATTTGTATCATTTTTTAGATCCCACATATATGATATGACATATATCATATGACATGTATATGTGGAATCTAAAAAATGATACAAACGAACATATGATATTTGTCTCTGACTTACTTCACTTAATATAATAATCTCTAGGTCCACCCATGTTGCTGCAAATGGCATTATTTCATTTTTTTATGGCTGAGTAATATTCCATTGTGTGTGTGTGTGTGTGTGTGTGTGTGTATCACATCTTCTTTAGAGGATGGCTTCTTTAGAGGATGGCAAAGGTAATGATGCTCCTTTCTTCAGGCAAACACAGTCTGCACCAGTATGTTCAGCTTGGAGAGCAGAGCATAGCTCTACTCTCAGCCAGGCTTCCTTGTGCAGTACACAACCTGTACAACCTTCCCTAGAAGCCCTGTCTGCTGTGGTTCTCCACATGAGAGGCTGAGTGACAGCTGATGCTTGCAAAAGGAAGACCTGGGGCAGAGTGGGGTCCCACTGGGTAGAGATTGCTCCATTCTCCTGTCCCCGCCACATTTGCCAGCACCACTGCCTGAGCCCTTGCAGTTCAACTCAACCCAGAGTGGGAACAGGACCATGAGGAGGCAAAGGAAAGAAACAAGGCACCTAAGAGGACCCAGTGGTCAGCGAGCAGAACACAGCAAACCACCCTGCAGCTGAGAGGAGGGAGTGACAAGCTTAACAAGGACTTGATAAGGGTACTTACTGCAAAACAAAGACCTTCTTACCCAGACAAAGCATGATGTTAAGATTTAAAATTGAACAGATGAACTAAAGAGAGGACAGTCCGGGGTGGGATAGGGAGGGTGAGAGGGAGACGCAAGAGGGAGGAGATATGGGGATATATGTATATACATATAGCTGATTCACTTTGTTATAAAGCAGAACCTAACACACCATTGTAAAGCAATTATACTCCAATAAAGATGTTTAAAAAGAGAGAGAGAGAGAGAGAGAGAGAGAGAGAGAGAGGACAGTCCTGCTGAGAACAGAATCAGTTGCTTGCAGATCAAGGAGGAGAAATATCTCAAAATACTGAGCAAGAAGAAATGAAATAGACATGGTGGGAGAGAAGATGGTCATAGATGTGGAGGCTCAAATGACTGGAGTTCCAGAAGGAGGAAAGGTAATGATGGCGGAGAGATAATAATTAAAGAAACAGAAGAGGAAATAGCTCCCCAGACCTGAAGAAAGACTTGAGCCTGCAGGCTGAAGGGCCACAGACAGGCACTCATCTAGGTGGTACCGGGACAAGTTCCCGAGTCGCAAGGACACAAAGAAAATCTCCAAGCATCCATAAAGAAAGAGCCTGTTACTTAAAAGGGAAAGGAGACAGATCAGCACTTAGCATCTACAACACCGAGCCCTAGAAAACAGGGGCAAATCATCTTGGACCATGAGAAAAAAAAGGCTGCAGCTCCTTCAACCAGCCAATATGCCCTCACCAGCAAGCCTCATCTTAGAGCACCAGGGAGGGCAGGGAAATCCTTCTCAAGGTCTCCTCTCATGGGGTGAGGGGAGCAAAGGACCAAGTAGTGTGTGTGTGGGGGGGGGCATTATTTTTTGAAAAACATGATAGACAAATATATATGATTATGAGGGTCACAGAGTGAGGTCATCATGAGCAGAGATGAAAAGAACAATAGGCTTTTCCAAAATAATAAAGGGGAGAGGGATGTGGAATTAAATAAATTAAATGAATCTCAGCTAAAATTGGGGTAGGGGCAGGCCTGTAGGGGGAGCTCACATACCCTGCTACGTAGCCTCAATGATTCCAAGCAGGAAGAGAAGCAAGCCTGCATCTCCCACAGGAAGTTGTTGCCTACTTTGTTATCCAGCAGCAGAAGAAAACTTCTCCCCCAACCCCCACCCCTGTGACAGCCCAGCCAATCAGACTGTAGCAGCCCAACCAATGAGAAACCTCCATACCTTGGACTCCCAACTTCCTCCAATGGACTCTTTGGTTATTACAGCCCCTCCCAACTCCTCTCTTTTCCCCAAAAAACAAGCTGTCAGTCCCTGTTCTCTGGATTTGCGCGTGGTCTGCCATATTTCACGTGACGTGAGTTGCAGTTCCTCTGACTATTCCTGAACAAACTTGCTTTTGCTGGTAAAATAACTGGCTATTATATTATTAAAGTTGACAGAGGAATGTATATTTTATCAAACTGACGAGAACAAGAAAGGGAGAAAAAGAGGAAACGACAAAGTAAATACAGTTAACTCAAGTTATCCAGAAAGAATAGAGCAGGTCTATCAGTTGTTAGGTTAAACGGGAATGAACTGAATTCTCCTACTGGAAGACATGGACTGTCAGACTGGTCAAAAGTCAAAACTGAGCTATATCTTTGTAACATAAAACACTTAAAGATAAGAAAAGAGAAAGTAGGGAGGGCAATTTTAATGTCAAAGTTGAATTAATAGTATCAGACTGGATTATGAGATATATTATATACATAAATGGCAGTATTTACAGAGAAGGTATAATAGTCAAGTCATAAACCCCACAGCACTAAACAACATGGCAGCTAAATGCAGAAAGCAAAATCCACTAGAAATACAATGGTCTAGCAGATCAGACAAAGCAAGACCATAGAAGATTTAAATACCATGATAAAATTAATAGACAGTAACTGCATAAACCTATGAGTTAATGATTTTGTGAATAGTGAGTGTATGTAAACAGGAATGAAAAAAATAAATGGTCCATACATGAATGAATAAATGCAGGAATTAGTGAATGTGAGAATTTTTAAAAATCATGACAATAAATGAATGAAGATGTGATGATACGAATAAAGAAATAGATGGAGAGAGTAAATAAGTAAAATAAATATCTCCAGGGTGGAAGGAAAAAAGGGAATGGGGAGGAAGGGAGGGGAATTCCCATGCACAGCCAGCTCACAGAGAGCACAGCCCCCAGAAGGCTTCATTTAGCTATCCCCCAGCCCCAGCTCACCCGGCCAAAAAACTGCAGGAAGGTGTTGGAAAGCAGAAGGTGCTTCTCAGCCAGGAAACGGTAGCGCCGCTTCTCTTCCAGTTCAGCTGCCCGCTGACTCTCAGACACGAAGGCCTGCATCTGCGCATGCAGCCGGCTCACGCTCTCCTGCGGGAAAAGGGGATTCTGGCTAGAGGCAGGGGGTGTGTCCCTTATCCCACTCCCACGAGTGCCGGCTGTCTGAAGCCTCTCTCTCCTTCCTGAACCAGCCACCTCCTGTCGGAAGCCTCCCCTGAGCACCCAGCCTGCCCTCGCTTCTGGGCCTGCCCTCTCGTGTGTATCCTCATCCTCATGAGCCTGGGTTTCTGCCTGCCCTCTGGCCCGGCCCCTTCTCCCAGGTAGGACTGGTGTCTGAGCCATCCTTCTGGCACAGGGCCAAGCACAGAAATGAGGCCTAAGAGAGTTGGTTTAATGCAAATGCAAATTAATTGATTAATAACCCCCTACTTGGGAGCGAAGATTTCAAAGAGGAGAGATAGGAGCTTATTAAAGGAGCCAGAAGAGGAGGCAGGAAAGGAGATAGAGGTCTTGGAGACAGAGGCCAAGGATGGGGCCCTGAGCTTGGGAGGAGGGGCTGGCCTTAGCCAGGGGGCAGGAGGGAGGGGGAGGGTGTCGGGGCTGCTGGTGGATTCTGCCTTTGCTACCTTGATCAGGAGCAGCGTGACTGAGGGCCTCAGGTTTTCTCAATGAAGTAGGAGAAGGCAAGGAGGCCACAGGGGAGTGGGGGGGGGGCAGGCAGCGACGGGACAAGGAGCGGCGCTGAGGGTGTCCCTGAGACAGTGATGCCCACCCGCCAGGGGCTGGCTGACCTCTCCAGCTATGCTTGCCACACAGGGTGGGGCAGGACACGCTCCTGGAGTCGGGCCGGGGCTGGGTGGGAGAGCTCCAGCGGGTGTCGGGGGTCCCCTCGGAGCCCCGTGTCG